AAAGGATTGTCCGCCTCAATGAAAACTGACGCATACCTATGGTATGCGCGAGAACTTCAATATTGGCGGGCTGTTGAGGTATTGCAGAACGCCGAGTTGATGCAGAAAAAACGACGGCTCGAAGAGAGCCCTGAAACCGTAGGCATCGACCTGGCTGATGCCGCCCCGTTAAAAACAAAGGCAGAAACGAACGACTCCGCTCAAGCTGATTTCGGGTCGTTCAAAGAGGAAGTCATGGAACCAATCCAGGAGGATAACGACGGACCGTCCACTTCTGCGACGGCCGCGCATGCGCTGAAAAAACAGCGGCGCGACGCGAGCCCTGAAGCTGTAGGCATCGACCTGGCTAATGCAGCCCCGTCAAAAACAAAGGCAGAAACGAACCACTGCGCACCAGTTGATTTCGGGTCGTTCAAAGAGGAAGTCATGGAATCAATCCAGGAGGATAGCGACGGGCCGTCCACTTCTGCGGCGGCCGCGCATGCGCAGAAAACACAGTGGCGCGACGCGAGCCCTGAAGCCATAGGCATCGACCTGGCTGATGCCGCCCCGTTAAAAACAACGGAAAAAACGAACGACTGCGCACCAGCTGATCTTGATGCTAAAAGGAATAAATTGGAAGGAGACCGAGGATGTAAACATATCGACAATTTAAGAAATCAGAGTCAGCTTCTCCGTGCGTCAGAGTGCTCCGCACGTCAGCTCCTCCGCACGTCAAAGTCGTCCGCACATAAGCTTCTCCGTGCGTCAAAGAACTCCGCACGTCGGCTTTTCCGTATATAAGCTTCTTCGTGCGTCAGAGTCCTCCGCATATAAGCTTCTCCGTGCATCAGAGACCTCCGCACATCAGCTTCTCCGCACGTCTGAATCCTCCGCACATAAGCTTCTCCATGCGTCAGAGTCCTCCACACATCAGCTCATCCAAATAACATACATCGTCGAATATCCTAATTGGGACGTTAAACGCAATAAATTTCTGATACAATTATATAATTTAATGCAATGCCCATTACAAAAATTTACTAATGCACATTAACGATATATCAGCGCATGTTAGAGCTAAAGTTTTTACGAATATGGCAACACAGCGTCATAATTAAAAATGCCGGAATTCCTTTTAACTTTCTTCATTTCTATAATTGGTTATATAGCATTAAAACAAACGATATTTCTTGACATCGATGTTTACAATAACATGAAATACCGTCAAGAATTACCATAATGTAGAAGGAAAGGAAGAGCCCTTTTACGAATTGTAATGACCACCGCATCAAAACGTATAAATTAAATACGCTTGCCACCCAAACGTTGAAGTGTTTAAGAAGCGCGGCAGCCAGCAGCAGAAGGTTTGTTTCCGAAAAAAGTGAAATGCGAAGTAAGAATATTTATAACATCCTTCTTTTTTTTACAGCCTGACGAAGATTTTCAGTTATTTGAAATATCGTGGTGTACTGCATGCGAAACCCAAGTGGTCCTTAACGGCCAGCATGGAAAATTAGTTTCTAACGAAGAAGACACCGACACGGATGAATATCCAAAGAAATTACCAGTAGTGGAAAATAAAGAAGATATTAACGATGAATTCCATGAATTAATTTCGAAAACAGAAAGTCCCCGTAAGCCAAGCAGAACAGAGCTTCTCATAGGTAACATCCTGTTACATCAGTCTGTACCTAAGTTCAAAACCATCATCAATGGCTCTAATGAAGATTATGGATCTAATTTTAATGTAAGTGATCCAATCCATTTGCAAACAAACCAAAAAAAATAAAGTATAATAAAAATAGTATTACGTTTTAGAGCTCCTTTGGGATCATAAAAAAGTACAAAGATAAATAATACACCTTTTTCATCAATACATTTTTTCCGTCGCGGAAGGATTACCATTACTATCTTGTACGTGTTTGAGGTATTAAAGTACATAGATCGCTTTTTGCATAACTTTCCGCACACATAAATATTTTCGTGAAAACTAAGCCGCCTAGAAACAATATTTGTGTAAACGTTACGTCTTTTTGACACACCAGCTACCCCAAAAAGTATTTGGGAAAATTCGTCAGTAAATCATTTATCTGCAGTTGCGGCGGCCGAGTCTACGAAAAAGCAAGAAATGCTTTGTTTTGAAAACCTCAGAGAGTCCACGCCCGTTACCATTGCAACAATAGAGCTCTAGACATCGTCATGCAACCGTAGGCAGCTAATGTACATCCATTTACACCAGATAGTAAGTTTATCGTCTTTATTGTAAAACTGTAATATATAAATTGGTAACGCACATTGTCTCATGGGTTTGATGGCTCACTAAGTTGGTTACTATCATTTGATAAATCGTCTTCGGTAGCCAACTCTACGTCATATTGAAAACCTGTTTTTGTTACATCGATTAACTTATTTGGTTCAAAGCATCTCAAATAAATTCTCTTATGTTTAGCATTTACGGCGGCAAGGTATAATTTACGGCACCGGACACATTCATCCTGCTGCTCTCCCAAAATTTTGAGAAATACAAAATTAAATATATTACACTGAAAAGCCGAATATTGCATATCAATTTACCTTCGTGTGTTTTCAGATGTGCTCGTAGATTGCAGGCTAAAGCAAATTTCTTGTTGCACAACTCCCAAATATGTGGCTTATCACCTGCGGGGGTAAATACGTATACGATACATTTGTCATTATTTATGTTTATCTACATACGTACATATATATCTCTATATATATAGATACAAGTGTGAACGTTTTTTAGACTGGTTTTATATTTTATGATTTCTTTTATCAAAAGAAAAGTTTGAAAACAGTTTTTCATTCACGAGTTGAGATTAATTGATTGTATTTTGCGCAATAGTTTGAATTGATTTTCTAATACATCGTCTATTTGTCTTTTTAGTGAGTAAAGGCGGCTCGTTACCTCTTGCAAGAATTTTCCAGTACTTGTTAATTTTCGAGAAAATCTTTTTTTATATATAGAGCGGAACACGTAAGCATAATTTATTTTCCGTTCCTTTACTTGCTACCCGTCAGGCATTGAGAATCTCAATAACCGATCTTTGCAATTGTTTCCAATTTAATTGGTATAAGTCGACCAAGTGGTTCATCATATATAGATAATAATTTTTATAAATTAACCTAGAATTATTTTACAATGAACGAATATATAAATTGATACATTTGTATTTTTGCATTTGTGTACTTCAGAAATATGAACAGCTCGAAGTGTGTCACAAAAATGTAACATAAGCGAATTAATGTAAACAACGACTGCACACTTTAAGGTCTGGATTATGTAACTTGCGATATTGTTGTCTGAGGTCGAATTCTAGCAAAACAGAAAAACAAAGAAACATGGTTATGCAAATACAAGTGAATGAACAATGCTATGTTAATGAGTGCAAATTCACCCAAACATGTATGTCCAAAGAAAGAATAAAATATTGAATGAAAGTGTATGTACTTAAAACCAAACTATTTATATTTAACTTAATAACAATAATAAATACCATATTTATATTTAATTTTATGTCACTCGTATATGTTTAGATTTAAATATGTCTGTTTTCAATGAAAAATTCCATTGTGTCCTCTCACGACTTCTATGGGACTACCCGAAGTTGTGGCGTCCGCGGGGTCCACAATTCGGCCTGTTCGAGGAACTGGCCGAAAAAGTAAGCCAGGAGATGGAGGAGCAAGTGTCCGCGGAAAAAGTAAAAAGCACATTAAGAGCAATCAGGAACCGTCTGGAACGACTGGATAAAGGATTGTCCGCCTCAATGAAAACTGACGCATACCTATGGTATGCGCGAGAACTTCAATATTGGCGGGCTGTTGAGGTATTGCAGAACGCCGAGTTGATGCAGAAAAAACGACGGCTCGAAGAGAGCCCTGAAACCGTAGGCATCGACCTGGCTGATGCCGCCCCGTTAAAAACAAAGGCAGAAACGAACGACTCCGCTCAAGCTGATTTCGGGTCGTTCAAAGAGGAAGTCATGGAACCAATCCAGGAGGATAACGACGGACCGTCCACTTCTGCGACGGCCGCGCATGCGCTGAAAAAACAGCGGCGCGACGCGAGCCCTGAAGCTGTAGGCATCGACCTGGCTAATGCAGCCCCGTCAAAAACAAAGGCAGAAACGAACCACTGCGCACCAGTTGATTTCGGGTCGTTCAAAGAGGAAGTCATGGAATCAATCCAGGAGGATAGCGACGGGCCGTCCACTTCTGCGGCGGCCGCGCATGCGCAGAAAACACAGTGGCGCGACGCGAGCCCTGAAGCCATAGGCATCGACCTGGCTGATGCCGCCCCGTTAAAAACAACGGAAAAAACGAACGACTGCGCACCAGCTGATCTTGATGCTAAAAGGAATAAATTGGAAGGAGACCGAGGA